CCAGAGAAACTATGCATATGTGAATATATGTCATCTTGTTTATTTTTTTTATTTATTTTTTGTCCTTTTTGAGACCGGCCGCACCACGCTCAGCCAGTGAGCGCACCGGCCATCCCTATATAGGATCCGAACCCGTGGCGGGAGCGCTGCTGCGCTCCCAGCGCCGCACTCTCCCGAGTGCGCCACAGGCTCAGCCCTATGTCATCTTGTTTAAAACACAAATAGCCACATACATTGTAACTGCTATATGCTTGATTTTTTTTTCTTTTCATTGATAAATTCCTACAAATAAAGGAATAACATGTAAGGTATAAGGAGTAATAAAACCAGCACCCATGTACCCACTACCAGTGCCATGGAAGCTCTCGGGACCTCTCTTTGGCCCCCCTTGCATCCTTCCCACCTCCTTGGGGTAACCACTCTTGCATATTTTTTTGTAATTCTCTTTTCTTTAATATTTTACTACATGCGTCTGTCTCCCTAAGCAATCTGTTGTTTCCATTTGTATGTTTATATATTTATTCTTTAGTACCCTTCTCTTTTCGTGTAGCAAGTTTTGTCAGGTTTATTTGTGTCTGTGCATTCTCACCACTAAATGCTGTTCCATTCTAAGATAAATCATAATGCATTCATCGTCTCTTCTATTGACAGACATTGCTCTAGACAAGCAGTGAAAAGAACATTGCTTTTTTCACTTTACATTTTACAGATCATTCCCTATCAGTAATGTATGTATTTACTACAGCCTTAGAAATGTTTTTTAATTCTTTAATAGGTAATTCATTTACATGGTTCAAAATTCAAAAAGTATAAGAGAGTAAATAGTTTCCTTCTCATTCCCTTGTCTTCCAGCCTCCCAGGTGGCCTCTAAGGCAATTGATGTTTCCATTGTTATGTGTATACTTCTGATGTGGGTCTCTGTACAATGTATCATTTATCTGCAAGTGACGCTCATAAGTGTAACATTGCTGGGTCAGAGGGTGTGTGTTCAAAATTTACATACATATCATCAAATTACAGGCCATCATTTAAAAAGGAAATTGAACCAAAGACAGTGATGTCATTAACAGCTTTGAAAGTGTGTCAGGGGGGCATTGGTGGCTGTGATCTTTGCTGTTGTTTGATGTACAGTTATCAAGAGCTCCCAGATGTACTGAACTAGCTGTAACTTCATCCTTTCTTGGATTTTTGGCTCCTTTTTATGTCTCTTTCTTTAGATCACATTCAGGCGGCCGTTGCCCAACTGGACCTGTTAGGTGCTCTTGAACATAAGGATGACCAGCTTACCCTGACTCCAATTGGAAGAAAGATGGCAGCATTTCCTTTAGAACCCAAATTTGCCAAAGTAAATGATACCCTCTCCTCAGTCCCTTTTCTGTACATTACAGGTTAGCCATCCCAGAGTAGACCCCTGAACCCAGTGCTTCTAGATTAATCTTTACTTTTTCTCTTAAATAATTACCAACCCCTACTTTGAGTATGACACTGATTTATGTGCTCTATGGGATTCAAAGCCATGTTAAGTCATGAGTCCTACCCACAAGGAATTCGGAATCAGTCATCTGATTCGGAAAGCAGTCATCTGTTTTAGAAAAAAGTAAAATTACGTTAACATACATAGTCAAGGCTTTAGAGACACCTGCCCTTTAACTCCTTAGAAGGGAAGCTGCAAAAGCAACATACAGAAATACTGTATTCAGAAACTAGGAAAAGACAAGGTTTACAGAATTTCTAATTTTAATTTACAGACCATCCTCCTTTCCCCAAAATTCCACTGTACAGAGGAGATCCTGACCATTGTTTCTCTGCTGTCTGTGGACAGCGTGCTCTACAACCCTCCATCCCGGCGAGATGAAGTGCAGGGTGTCCGGAAGAAGTTCATATCCAGCGAGGGGGATCACATTACCCTCCTCAATATCTATCGGACCTTCAAAAACTTAGGCGGAAATAAGGTGAGCCTTGTTCTTGTTTGTTCTTAAGTGATAGCTCCTTTCAGACATGCGTTTTTAAGTGCACCTTCCCTTTTTGACTGAACCATCCAAAGAGCCACAAAAAGAATGCCAGCTGTCATTTCAGAATAATGGATAGATTTCCGGGGACAAAAGGTAATTCTAGACTTTGTACAGTTTGTACTTAATGTGGGCAAGTTAATTAAATATTTGGTAACTCAATTTCTTTGCCACCAAATGGTTTTTTCCCCCCACATGCCCCTAACTTTCTCCATGGTAGACTTTACGTATATGATATTTCAGTTCCTTGGACCAAGATGGAAAATGGCAATATATTCTTTCCTATATCACAAAACTCAGTAATTGTACCATAGTGTGCACACTAACACTTAAAAAAAAAGCCACCACCCAGTTTTAGCATTTATAAACTTCTCACTATATTTGCCTCAATTCATTTTTAAGGAAATAAAATGTTGTAGATACAGTAAATGCCCCAGGCTGCTCCTTTCCTAGTCCTTTCTCCCGTATGTAAGCCCTGTCCTGTGGTTGGCGTGTTCCCTGTGAGCAAGAGTGCACTTGTACTTCATATCCATCAATGTGATATACTGGAAATGTAAATGTTTTCTTCCACTATCCTTCTGCAGCTTCTTTCCCCTTCCAGCACTGCGTGAACCTCCCAGACAGGTCTCATGCACATGGGGAGGGGACCTGCTGGGGTTTGGGATTGCTGGATCTCAGCTTTACAAGGCTGGCAGGTGGCTCCCCAAAGTTGTTCATGCCTCTTTATACTCCCCATGGTAATGTATAAGAGTTTCCATTTCCACCATCCTCACCAACTCTTAGAATGACTAATTTTTGCTATGTTGATGGATGTGAAATAGTTTATCTCAGTTATTTTAAACTCTGTTGTCATGATTCTTTTTTTTTTTGGTCTTTTTCCGTGTCCGGCAACGGATCGCAACCCTCAGTGTAGCCCCCGTACTGGACCAGGACCGGCAACGGGATCACAGCCCTCGGTGTTGCTCCCACGCCTCGCTCAGCCAGTGAGCGGGAACTGGTCTGTATGTGGGATCCAAACCCTTGGCGGGAGCGCCACCACGCTTCCCAAGCGGCGCACTACAGCAGTGCGCCACCGGGCCGGCCATCATGATTCTTTAAGAGATTGAGAATCCTTACATAAGTTTATTGGGCATTTATATTTCCTCTTCTGTGAATTGTCTGTTCAGATCCTTTATCCATTTTTCTACTGGGTTGTTGGTCTTTTTCTTATTGATTTGTAGTTTTTTCTGTATTCTGGAGGTACTAATCCTTTATTGTGTATAGAGATATAAATAAATATCCCGGTCTATAGCTTTTTTCATGTGATTTGAAATAAGGAAATTTTAGTTTTACTTTAGTTTAAATTTTAAATAATTTCCCTTATGGTTCATGCTTTTTTGAAATAACGATATTTTCCTATATTCCTTTTTGGCACCTGAAGTTTTCCCTGTAAATTCTAAAAATTTTGTTATAATTTTTTTCACTATAGAAATGAGAAGATTGTGATATCTCTTTTTCTCCTATTCAGGACTGGTGCAAAGAAAATTTTGTCAACAGTAAGAATATGATGCTAGTAGCTGAAGTCAGAGCACAGTTGAGGGACATCTGCTTAAAGGTATTGTCTCTTCCCGGTGTTCTTTGGGGGACTAAAGCATCACTTTTTCTAGGTGGGAAAAAAAAATTTTTTTTTGGCAGCTGGCCTTGACCAAATCCATGACCTTGGTGTTACAATACCATGCTCTAACCAACTGAGCTAACTCACCAGCCCCTAACTGAAAATTTTTAAATTCTATATACTTTTTAAAAATTTTGTATACTTTTATTTAATTTTTTTTTAATTGCTAGTGATTATAAAAGGAATTCTGATTGTAGAAAAATTTTAAAATAAAGAAGAAAAGGGCCAGCCCCTGGCTTACTTGGGAGAGTGTGGTGCTAATAATACCAAGGCCACGGGTTTAGATCCCTATATAGAGATGGCCAGTTAGCTCACTTTGGAGAGCATGGTGCTGACAACACGAAGTCAAGGGTTAAGATCCCCTAGCCAGTCATCTTTTTATTTAAAAAAAAAAAGGGGGGGGGGGAGTAAAAATTGCCCACAATTCCACCTTTCACTATTTTGGTCTATTCCTAATAGCCCTGTTTTTTTAATGCATTTTTACATAGTTACATTGTATGTATACTTTATATCCAGCTTTTATAAACCTCATATGAATTTCCCAATGTTATTAGAATTCTTCTTAAGAATTTTTTTTAGTAGGAATATCTTTGTTATTTTTTTTTCAGATAAAAAAGCAGTGCATAACTGTTAAATATTGACACATGCAGAAAATAGTGTTATATAATGCAGAAAGTTTAAAAGTCTCTCATAATCCTGCCAATCCAGATATAACCACTGTTAACAGTGTGGCGTAGATCCTAGAATTTTTTTTCTGTGTATGTGTGTTTTCTGCATATATCTGCGCATATCTGCATGTGCATATGTGCACACACATACACATGGATGCGTGTATAAAATTCTCCTTTTAAAACAAATATATATGTTCTGCAACTTGCTTTTTTCCACTTGTTATTTTTTTTTTATTTAAATTTTATTTTGGGGCCCAGCTGATTGGACTGATACTTGGCACACCTCTTGAATACTCACTGTGTCTGGGCTCTTTCAATGTCTGCAGTCTATCTCATTCCTTTTAGTGATTTCATAGCATTTCGCTGTATGCATTACAGTTTATTTAAACAAGCGTCTAATAATAGATACTTAGGTTGTATTATAATGACTATCCTCCTAAAATACTATCGTGCTCTGGTGCACATAGAATGAATTTCTAGTTGGGGGATTTAGATTTTGATAGGTATTGCCGAAGTGTCCCCCACAAAGTTTTATATTAGCTTATATTCTCTCTTAGAGTACATGATGTTTTAAAGTCCTGCCATGGTATATTTAATAGTTCTATGACATTCCACATTTTACGTCAGAGGTGGAGGGTAGCTTACGTAAGCATTCTCCTGTTGTTGAGCAATGACACAATGTCCCTGTTTTTGCTGTCATAAACAACTCTGTGGTGAATGTTTCTGTGCACAAGGCCTCTTCTGAAACAGCCTCCTCAGTGCAGACTGTGTGCATGCTCCTCAGAGACAGTTGTAGCCCGTACCCAGGCCTGTGTCTGATGTCAATGGCCTATCATTAGCACTAGAGCTATTAGCCTATTTTATTCTGTATTTTACAGATTTTTTCCAACTCCTCTGGTACTTAAACAGTTTTCCTGCTAGTCTGTCTCTTGACTTCATGCATTTCCTCAATTTATTATTGACAGTAGAAATGTTGCTTCTCTATTAGTTATGAACTTGGGACTCTTCAGTGGTCAAATATGCCTCTTTATATGCCAAGCACTGATCAAGGTCCTGGGATCTAACAGACATGCCTCAGACTTGGTGTCTTAAGGAATAATTTAGAGGGTGAAATCTCTTACACATATACATACATATAAATAATTCATGCAAGGAAACAATAATAATTATAATAATCACTGTTTATGAGGCACTTATTCAGGCACTGTTTCACATACCTTTTGTGTGATTGCCTTATTTAAAATCTTCATTTCTCCCCTGTAAGGCTGTCTTTTATTGTTCCCATTTCACAAATGATGAAACTAAGTCTAAGCAAGTTAAGTAACTTGCTCCAAATCATACAGCCAGTGAGCAGTGGAGTTGGCAGTCTGGAAGGAGAGACCATCAGTTAGTCTCTGGGGCTTCTTGGAGGTGGTGACAGTTGAGCTACCTCTTGACAGATGAGGAAATATAGAGTGTTGTCATCAGGTCAGGATTAGTGGATTGCCAAAAACAAAAGCCCTGAGCCATCTGTAAAGGAAAAAAGGGATTTCTCAGTGGATAAAGAGGTATCTCTTGGAACCTTTGGGAATAGAGTCACGCCCCACAAGAACTGGAATAAGGAACTAGAAAAAGCCATCAGAAGCCAAGGCAGCTGCTTTCTCTGGACATGCTGGTCCTTTTTTGGGTTTTTGTTTTGTTTTATTTTGTTTTTAAGTCACTACACAATGTAAACATTTTGGTCCTCTGGTTTGTCTGCCTTCAGCATGCTTCCTTTCCTCTTCTTGCCTTCAAGTGATTGTTTTACGTGGCCTCTACACTCAAGAGCCAACAGAGATTGATTAGATTTCCCACTTCAGACCTGAATGCCTAGAAGAGAGAAGCTTGCCAGCTTAGGTCTGCTGCTGGTCAATTCAGCCATGGCCAGGATGTGAGGTTCCCTGACCCACTCAGCAAGGGCAGCAGAGCAAGGAAATTGACTGACAACCGACATTCTCACTGCAGCGATGAGGGCAGCATTTGTATTAGGGTAGCACATGCGAAGGCACAGAGGTGGGAGTCATGGATGGGTCTCGGGAAGAGAGGGCAGTCTATTACAGAGGACCATAGGATGTCTACAGAAAAGGGGCGAGAGGAAAGACCAGTGAGGTGGGCTTGGGCGGTTCATAGCAGCTTCACCATAGGAAGCTTGCATCGTTTTGCCAGGAGCAATAGAGACATTGTAGGTTTTGAGTGGATGAAGAATGATCCGAGTAGTATTTTAGGAAGATTAATTTGTCCGCATGTGTTTGATGAATTGCGAAGAGGAGATGGTGACTAGTCAAAGTGAGAGGGAAAGGCCTTTCCTTCCTGGAGTGTCCTGATGGATATTTAGGTGAGGGGATGGGTCATCGACCTGACCTGCCTGTGGTCTGGTAACTTACCTGAATGTCTCCCTCCCAGTCCTGACTCTCCCAGGCTGTAGTGTCCCTGTTTTCAGTCCATCCTCCCTCCACTGTGCCTCCTTCCCCAACCGTGCTGATCCCTAAGGCATCTGCGGTAACCACCTCTGAATGTCAAAGTCCACTTTGTTAGACTTGCTGTATGGGCTGCATTTTAGGTCCAGTTACTCTGTGTTGCTGAGCAGTGTTTACATACGGGGTCTTTTCCATTTCTCACTTTCTCCTAAAACAGTTGTCAATGCCAATCATGTCATCCCGAGGAGACACGGAGAATGTCCGCCGCTGCCTGGCACACAGCCTCTTCATGAGCACTGCTGAGCTTCAGCCAGACGGGACCTATGCCACCACGGACACCCACCAGCCAGTGGCCATCCACCCTTCATCTGTCCTCTTCCACTGCAAGCCAGCCTGTGTAGTGTACACTGAGCTGCTCTACACCAACAAGTGCTACATGCGAGACCTCTGCATTGTAGACGCCGAGTGGCTCTATGAGGCTGCCCCCGAGTACTTCAGGAGGAAGCTGAGAACTGCCAGAAACTAAGCTGCTCCATGATGCTGCCAGAATTGCCAGTGCCTGGGAGCTTGGACCACAGCTATGTTCGTAGCAGTCTTCTAGGTTGGCGCCCAGAGAAGCGGCAAGTTTAATGCAGCTGGACGTGCCCAATTTCCAGGAGTTCGAAAGCATCTTTGCTTGCACATAGACATGTACATATCACTTATGCCTTGGAAACTTCAAAGTTCTGCTTTTGGTTCTTGCTGGGTGACTTTGGGCGACTCAGTTATCTTCTGAGCCCCAGTTTCCTCATCTACCAAATGAGTATAATAGTAATTATATTTAGTTATAGGACTGGGGTCATGAAGTTTACAGAAAGAAAATGGAAAGTACCCAGAGCTATGTCTGGCACATTGTAGACATACAGTGAATTTTGAGCCATTATGCTTAATGCTATTGCTTTCTGCCTGATGTGAATTAAGTACAACAGAATCCCCTGAGTCCTTGTGACTAATGGTAGTTTCCTGGAAGGGGGTCATAGGAGGTCACAGAGCTTGGATGTTGTCCTTGGTTCTAACAGAAAACATAAGATATCGACTTCTGTCGAAGTTTCAGGAGGGAGGTGCTCTTGTCCCTTACCTCCTGGGGTGGCTGTACCCACTGAACCCTAATGTCTCAGGGTGTGGACCGTGCTATGTCTGTCTCCAAGCAGAGACCAGTAAAGGAGTCTCTTGCTCCTCGGTGCCTCTGTGGTGCATGTCCCCATCAGTGCTTTCAGGAGACATGCAAGTTTCCTGGCGAATGTTGATTTGTACCTTCTGAATCATGTCAAGTATAGATACAGGAAACTGACCTTTTAGTGTAATGGCCTCCCTCATACCCAGTTGTCATTTTTCTCTCTACCTGGGCACCTCTGAATATATGAGCATGAGAAATGACTCCGTGCTCCATTTTTCACTGTTTCTCTTCAGGCAGGGCCCCTGGTCAGAGCTGTTGGGGTGGGAGGGAGGTGGGAGGCACGTGGTCAGTGAGAACCCAGATGGCATTGACTCAGCCCAGCCACCACATCTGGTCTTTAGATTCTTGCATCTCATTGATTTTCTATGGTCCTTTTTCCTTCTTCGTAGGAACTTGGATACAGTCTGGCTTTGCTTCTTCCTAACCATACCCGGTACCCCTCTATAACCCTCATTGTCTACATTTGTCAGAGGGAATTAAAGGATCTCTACTAGTTTCCAGGAGTCCTTCCTGTTCTGACATTTTGAGAAGGGAAAAAAGACACTAAAGGTTCTTAGGTATTTAATTATCAAAAGCAAATAATGTTTGCACTATTGGGCGTAATTGGTCCAGACATATCTGTGAAGTATTTCTTCATTACTTATAAAATGAATTGTACAGTTTGTAAGCAGGGACCAAACTGCCTGAGAGACTCTTCAGAGACAATGAATGGTCTCTACACTCTGGGTCCAGCAAGCTCTCTTCAGAGACCAGGACCTGATGAATCGTACCCATTCCAGGGTCTTAATCTGTCCACAGTGTATACAAGTCCAGCTCAGTTTTTATTTACAACACTAGCTATGGGCCCAGGCAGTCAAGATTTTAGCTAGTGTTTAGGGGTGTCTGGGCACTTGTGACTTATTTCTGTTAGAAATGGTTACATTTAGGCCAAATACGATTTGACAGATCCTATATACCTTATTTTACTGAATTCTTAACTGTGAACTAGTTCTTCCACAGATTGACTTATTCTTGCCATTGCTGAATTTCTGAAAAGCTTTCCAGAAACTTTTTGTTTGTTTGTTTTTAAAAGATGACTGGTAAGGGAATCTTAACCCTTGACTTGGTGTTGTCAGCACCACGCTCTCCCAAGTGAGCCACGGGCCGGCCCTTTCTTTTTGTTTTTTAAGTGTATTTTTCTCATTCATTTAATAAGGGGTTAGGATGTTTAGCCTGACTTGGTGGAAGAAAATATTGTACTTTTAATAATGCATTCATCATTCTGCTGAAAAATTTGGGACAGAGCAATTTATCATGTTCTTCAGCAAATTATCTCTAGCTAGAGGTGTTTTCTGGGCCAAGTAAACTTAACTTGGAATAAGTTATGTTCACCTTAAGTACCTGAACAGTTTCCAGAAGTCTGTATTCTTTTCTGAGGGGTAAAGGATGTAAACAGCTTTTATGTAGCTTGAATGTTTAATGTACAGAAATATGTTTATCACTGTAACATTATGGTAGAGGTTTAATACAGTATTTAGTTTTTTATTGGGCTTTTAAAATTAATTTTTAATATAGCTGCTCAGGGATTAAATCAGACTGGAAAACCCATTCTGACTCCACGTACTACTACAAAGAAATAAATGGTTATTTATATTGAGATGCAGGGGATAGTACACTTTAAACTTTCTTAAGAAAGTTGCATTTCACAATGATACCACAGTATAATCTTAAGCTACTCTTTTTCAATTGGTAAAATCTCTGATGGTGTGACACCTCTTTTCCAACCTGTGAAATCCATATCGGGAGAAATCACTAGCTCCTATGCACAGCATCATGTACATAAACACACTCCAAGCAGCTCGCATGCCTCCGGTGTTTGTCTTCTACTTCTGGCAATCACAGAGTGTGAAACATCCAGATTAACACACATTTCATTACAAGACGAAGGATGGCAAAGACCGGGTCCTTGATAAATACTCTTAATGTTCCATCTCTACTAGTTATAAAGAGATGCCAAAATGGAGGTAAGATTTTATCTGCGGGTAACACATACTGTGATAAGTAAATCTGCTTAATACAGCTGTCAGGAACTGCTCGGAACCGTGGCCATGCATCTAAGATACCATTTGTTCAGCATATAAGGAAACACTGCACCTGGGGGGAAACAAGAATTTTATTACACTGTATTTGAAAAGAATATTATAACTTGCAGAAAAAACTGGAGGGGGAAAATAAAAAAACTTTTAAGGCTTATGTTGTATTTTGAGAGTCTGGTCTTATTCAAGCAGACAACTATAGAAACATCAGCTCTTGTATATAATGCTCAAATTGACATTTGACTATTGAATCCATTAAAAATGAATCTTGTACATGATGTGTGTGGCTTCTTTTCCAGGTCTTCTTTCCCTCATTCACGGAAAGCTAATATAAAAGTATTAGTCTTATCATTGCCACTAATTTGCTAAGACCTTCTTGGTGCCTTATGTATCCTAGGAAGGTAGAATCATTGGTTCTTAGCTTAAATCTGATGTAATCCATGGTTTCTTGCCCACAGAAAAATGATGTTCCATTAGAACTTGGATGCATGGTTGGAGGATGCAGAGAGGGAAGGTCGTGGAAATTAATCACGGATCTCCACCTTCAAGATCTCACGGTCTGGTGGGGGTGAGGGGAAGTTGCCAGGTAAACCAGCAATACCAGGAGGTGCTGCTGAAAGGAGGATGAAGCATAGGGACTGGGCGTGCACAGGCGTGATTTCCTATTTGGTGGAAAAGAGATCCAGGATGGCCTTCTAAGGGAAGTGACCTTGGAGTCTGGTCTGGCGGGAGCTGGGGGCGACAAGAGTGCATTCCAGGAAGCCAGCCTGCGTGTTTTGAGAACAGTAGGTGGGAATTGGGTGAGTATAAGCAGCCGCTGAAAAGGATTAAGCAGAAAGCCTCGGACACCAGACTCAGGGCCACTCAGCAGAGAAAGTCCAGGAATACGGATTCGAGGCTGCACCGGAGGTCCCCAGCAGAGGGGACCATACCGTCACCGATGCCTTCGGTGTTTAGAGCGCCGGCGCGGGAAGCGCTTCCGGGAGAGGGTGGGGCTTCCGGCGGCGCGCTCGGTCACTGGGCTACTTGGCCAGAGTTGTCCTTCGTAGCCGCACGTGTGTGCCACCGCGTTAACGATGCTTCCCCTGTTGCGCAGCGTCCCCCGCGCCCTGGGCCACGCCGTCGCCGGTCTTCGTGCCGCCGCGCCCGCCTCTCCGCTCCGGCAGCTGCTGCAGCCCGCGCCGCGGCCGTGCGCACGGCCCTTCGGGCTGCTCAGCGTCCGCGCGGGGG